AACTGACTGAAATATCGCTACACCCCAGTTCCATGACCCTGTGAATATTAGCTTGTATGGTACTTTGTGGATGTGATTAAACATCTTGAAATAGGGCATGCTCCTGGGTCATCCAGATGGGCCGTTATAATCGCGCTGGTCCTTACGAGCACGGTCAGATCAGATGAGAGGGCACAGTGAGGACGGGAGCAGAGACTGGAATGATACACGTTGAAAATGGGGAAAGAAGCCAAAGTATACAGGTGGCCACTGAAGACTGAGGAAAGGAGAGAAAGGGATTCTTCCTTCTGAGTGTCCAGAAGGAACTGACAGACTCCACACCTTGGCTAGAGCCCAGAGAAACTGGTTTGGAGCTTCTGACCTTTAGAAGGATAAGAGAATGAATCTGTGGTATTTTAAGCCCTTACATTTGGGTTAATTTGTTATAGCAGTAATAGGAAACTAATATAACACAGAAGGCAGTGAAAACAAAGAAATGTGCATTGTTACGAAGCCTCTAAAATACAAGTTGTCTGATTCTCTGTTCCCTCTCTGGAAAAAAATCCCCAGAACACCGAGCCATTTTTCATTGTGAATCTTCATCATGTAGCTGATCTATTTCCATTGAAATGGTCTTTTTAACTCAGCATCTACTGTGAAAAATACAACTGCCAAATTCCTGGCAGTAACAGATTGCATGTGCACAGAGAAAAGCCAGCATTTGGATAGTCATTCGAAAATAATCAAATGAATTAAAATATGCTTTGTGAAAACCGTTTAGACTGGATGGACATTTCAGAGAAACCATATGTTAACTTAATAAACTCGATAGAAGAACTCCTATTTCATAAGGTCTGTTATGCGACTGTTATGTTTAATCAGTTCAAAAATTTTGCAGACAATATTATCAGATCAGGAAAAAAAATCTAGGAGTGCACCCACACCTCTCAAGCACAAAATACAATGTACTAATTAGTTGCTCTCTGAGATTACAATAGTCACCTCAAATCAGTCAATACTGTAAGTTATCTGCTTTTGAGATAAATCAAAGTAATTGCCAATTTTGAATTGTTTATCAGCCACAAATGGCAACTTGTTGAATCCGTCAAGAATTTCTCCTCTAAATCAGGACTGGCCAGCTGTGGCCTAAAAGCTAAGAATAGTTTTTACATTTTTAAATAATTGAAAAAAAACAACAGAAGGAAGAGAAAGAAGAAAAGGGGGGAAGATGATGATGTTGGGTAGAAACTTTCAATTACGCAAGATGAGTAAGTTTTTTTTTTT